TATGTGATAAGTGAAATAATCTTGTTTTCACTTTGAAATGTAGATATTTGAACTAGAGACAAGACAAAACTAAGTAAGAATTTTTAGGCGTGAACCATGTTAAATCTGTATAAATACGATGATTTAAATAAAATGATGTAGCTCCTGGTCAACTATTATTTAAACTGTACATTTGCATATCTTTGCAATGTGCATATTGCGGATGCGCAGCTTGCAAAATCGATGCTAAAACTAAATATTGTGCAGCCCTACTTGATATGTTTGGATGTCACTTTATAACTGCTCAAAGGTCACGGTGTATTGCTTTATATCTCTGTCTATCTAAAAAATGGACTGTGTTGAGATAACCGATAAACATTAATTTTCCCTATTATAAATCATCGGTATCATTGTGAATTTCAGGTGAACTCCACTATCCCAATCACATCAGAGGTGATGAAGAAACATGGCGTCTACAACCCCAACAAAATCTTTGGCGTCACAACGTTGGACATTGTCAGGGCAAACACTTTTGTTGCTGAGCTCAAAGTAAGTTCTAAATTCAGTACTTATCAATGTTCATTAATAGAGCAGATTTATTTATTATAAATCATCCCCAGAAAAATAAGGTTGATTTTGTGATCATTGCTGCAATGTTTCCAGGGCCTTGATCCCGCCAGAGTCAATGTACCCGTTGTTGGAGGTCATGCTGGAATAACCATCATTCCTCTCATTTCACAGGTGAGGAAGAACTGTATTATTTTTTTAATAAGCATGTAAAGTATTTTATCATAAAGTCCCCTCTAAACGAACTGTGAAATGTTTCTTCTTTCATTAAAATACCTGAGTTTGAAATACTGAATGCAGCATTTTGAACAGTAGCAATTTTTAGAGTATTCCATGTTTTCATTAGGTGATTTATATCAACAGGTTAAAATCCCAAGAAAATGTCCAAAAAATGTAGACTCTGGTGCTGTTTACACTAGTGTGTTTTCATGTTAATACTGCGTTATAGAATGAAAACGCTCCTCATCCAGACTCCTTTTTATTGCGTTTCAAAAAAATGATTTTGTTCCACACTATACGGTCTAAAACCAATCATAGGTGACCATTCACACTCGCTGAGCATTTGAATATTTTGCCGGCACCTGTATTTCCAGTCTACTGCTTGTGTAATAGTCATATGAGAGGGAACCATATGCAATAGTTCAGAAGACCAGCCAGAGAGCGATTTATGGATTGCCATACCTCTGTTTTCAAAAGTCTGTGTTTCAGTCGATCTACACTAAAATAGAACACCAGCATTTCCGAACTAAAAAGGGTCTTTAGGCCTTTTCCAAATGTTTTTTTCAAGGTGCTGGAATTATGTAGACACCAAGCATAAGCAGAAAAAATAAACAAAATAAATACACAGTGTAAATGACACCTCAGGGCCACACTTTGCTATTACGTAGCCGGTTTGTAGTTTAAAGTTGTTTTTACTACACTAATGAACCCAAACTCAAAAACGTACCTGGAATATGAGTTTATTTAAAATGAAGTCACTCCCAGTAGTTCTTCGAAAATGATTTTTTTTTTCTAACCGCTTTAATTACACTGGGTCTTCATTGGGTCTGCTGGTATTTCGTAGCCCCGCCCACTATGCAGTATCATTGGCTTCATTCGAAATCGCACACTCTTAAGCCGCGGTCACCCTATACTTACTGCCCAATAGACTTCCATTCATTCGTGCGAATACAGCAAACCGAAAATGCAAGTTCGTGCAACACGTTTCACATGCCGCTACATTCTAGTTCAAGCTTGTTGAACTCTGACCTGTGAAATTACATCACTTGATTGCGTGAGACCAATATAAGATCAAAACATGAGCCCTCTGTAAATAATTGTAAAATATGGAGCAATCTGTCGCTCTGTCGATATCTAATCATCATCCGCGCCGTATGAATTTCGCATACTCAAACTGTAGTGCAGGGATGGGCAAACTCTGTCCTGGAGGGCCCGTGTCTTGCACAGTTTAGCTCCAACACTAATCAAACACACCTGAACAAGCTGATCAGTGTCTTCAAGATCACTAGAAATCTACAAGCAGGTGTGTTTGATTAGAGTTGGAACAAAACTCTGCAGGGACACCGGCCCTCGAGTATCAAGTTTGCCCATCCCTGCTCTAGTGTGACCATGGCTTTACTAAACATTAGGTGAAAAGCAACGTGACTAATCTTTGTTTTATGTTGTGGTTTTGATTTATTTATAATGATTGTCAAATAGTTGACGATTTTTCATATGGTCACAGCGGTTTGCTGTCCAGATGTTGTTGATTGATATTTTTTCCCCATGTTGTTTTCAGTGCACTCCTAAGGTTGAGTTCCCTGCAGATCAGCTCTCTGCTTTGACAGGCAGGATCCAGGAAGCAGGAACTGAGGTTGTGAAGGCTAAAGCTGGTGCAGGTGAGAGCTGAACTGTTTTTTTAAATTAATAAAATGCTCTAAACTAGAGGTGTTCAAACATGGTCCTAGAGGACCTGTGTTCTGCATATTTTAGTTTTAACCCCAGTTAAACACACCTGATCCAGAAAATTAAGCTCTTTCTAGGTATACTAAAAACTTTCAGGCAGGTGTGTTGAAGGAAGTTGGAGCTAAACTATTCAGGACACCAGCCCTCCAGGACTGAGTTTGGACACCCCTGCTCCCAACATTGTCACTGACGTTTAAAGATGGAGTGTTTTCTGGATGAATAAAGTGCTCTAAACATTTTGTCACTGATGGTTGATGATTGACAGTGTTTTCTAGATGAATTAGGCGCTCTAAAGCTTTTCTTTTGTCACTGACATTTTATAATGGCGATCCTCTGGAATATGAATTTTAATCTTTAAACTTAATACATCTATGTTCATAGGCTCTGCCACTCTGTCCATGGCCTATGCTGGAGCCAGGTTCACATTCTCCCTCCTCGATGCCATGAATGGAAAAGAGGGTGTTGTTGAATGCTCATTTGTGAGATCTGAGGAAACCGAATGCAAATATTTCTCTACACCTCTTCTGCTCGGGGTGAGTCTAAATAGATGCTCCTTTTTAGATATTACTTCATCTTATTTTAAAGCGGTAGTTCACTCAAAATATACAATTGTCATCATTTACTCACTCTTGACTTGTTCCAAACCAGTTTGAGTTGTCTTTTTGTTTTATTCTGCTAAACACAACAGAAGATATTTTGAAGAAAGCTGAAAACCTGTAACCATTGACATTTATAATAGGAGAGACCAATATTATGGAAGTCGATGATTACAGATTTCCAACAATTTTCAAATTTCACCAGAGCATGTAAGGTCCCATTTATACTAACATGTTTTAGTTTTAAAACACTTAAGTTTTGCTACGGTTACACCATCCGTCCACACTACACCAAAGTTTTCGAGCACCAAAAACGGAGCGTTTTGAAAACGCAGATTTTTAAAAGCTGCTGCTCTGTGTTAGTGTGGATGGAGGGAAAACGGACACATCTGAAAACAGAAGTGAGCCTGCAGACATTAGATCGGGTCTTTTTCCTCAAAATGAAGCAGCCTACACACAAGGAAAGGATGCAGGACTGAACTGTAAGTTCAGAATTCGCAAGTTTGATATGGAAAACAAACTCCAGAGGACACATCGGGTAAATCTTCAAAGGGAACGGTGTACTTTATAACCTTATTCACATCATCCTTGCTATGTTGTTTCACTGTCTTAACACCAAAAATGAAAACATGATATGAGGAGCTGCTATTTTCATTTTGATATTAGCAACTTAACAGACACCAAACATGTTAAGGCATCGTGTAGCTACATATTTAATGACCGTCATCTTCACTGTGTGCATATTATTAACAAAACGGAGCCTGTAACACAAAAGCGAAACACACTTTTTATTTTGATGAATGTATCAGTTTTAATAATCAGTAATGGCCATTTATAAAAGTATAACATACAAAAAGTTTTTAGATTATAGGAATTAAATGCAAGCAAACAGTCAAATGTGCAGAATCTGTGTCCGCGGTTACATTAATTAATATATTAATTAATATATTAACTTTATCTTTGCGCTCAGCCAAAATGCGTTACCTGAGAACAAGTAGGCTAATAGATTCAAAAGACCAAAGTCAGGGAATATGTCAGATGTAATATTTAATTCATCTTGTTGTCTACATTTAACAAATATAGAGATAAGATCCAGTGGTAGATCCTTGATAATTTATCCAATATGCGCAGCTCTCAACTGGGTAGATGTGCTCAAAGCACCTGCTGACTGCCTGGAGCTCAGATGCACGCATACTCTGCTGTGCATGCCAGAGTGTGTGTGTGGTCGCATGATGTGTTTTTAGAGGTATAGTGTGGATTGAGGGGCTGTTCAGAAGCGCTAGGTGAAACGCCAGTGTGGATGTGGATTGTTTTCATTCTAAAACACTGTTTTAAAACTAAAACGTATTAGTGTATACAGGGCCTAAATCAAGTTGGTTTGGAATTATCAATTTAAGAGCACACAAGGTCAGAATAATAATGATCTGTTAAATATAGCTTTTATGCGTTTTTAAAATATTAAAAGAAAATCTTTCTCTCTTTCCAGAAAAATGGCATTGAAAAGAACCTTGGCCTTGGGAAGCTCTCTGCATTTGAGGAGAAGCTTGTGGCTGATGCCATGACTGAGCTGAAGGGCTCCATCAAGAAAGGAGAAGACTTTGTAGCAAACATGAAGTGATCTGCGACTGGTGCACTACCTGTGAAATGTCATTTATTTATGAAGCTGAGTCGTCATTCATCAACAGGGTTCCCAAAATATGTATTTTCATCATGCTCAAAGATGCAGATTAAATTGGTCCAAACCAGCCATCAATAAAAACGGTTTATCAACTGAGCTAAATCTTTTGCTTTTAAGTTCACACCATTCATAATGTTGCTATTTTTCTTTGAGGTCTTGACCTGTGTTCTGTTGTTGTTGATAAAAAAAAAAGCACTTTGAACGACTCTTAAATCAATGTGAATGAGTTTTACATAAACAGAAATGGCTCTGAGTAATCGTACTGTCAGTGTTATTTTTCTAAACAAAGATCCACTGTCTAATCTTCATTCAAGCCTCTTTCTTTCTTTATATAGAATTATTATAGACTTTGTGGTCTATATTGACATGGTTACATTAAGCGGTTGTAGATTTCTCAGATACACCTGCATATCTCCCATTACACCACATACCAAATGTGCTCTTTTATGTTGATTTTTTTTTTTGGTGATGGTAAATTTACTGTCTTGTTTAAAGAAACCAGTTTGATGGTATTTGAGCTTTGAGGCATAGTGTGTTACCCTGCTGGAAGTAGCTATTGTGGTCTTCAAAAGATGGACCTTATATCGTCCACAACAATACTTTGATATGCTTTAAATGGTGTTCATTTTTATGCCAAGAAAGTGAATAAACCACACTACACTATTACACAACAAGTGCCTTGTGTATACAAAGTTGCTTATAAAAAATGTTTCACCACCAAAAAGATTCATTTATAGGTAGTTTGTCTTTATAAAGAATGCATGTTTGTGTGTGTGTATGTGTGTGTGTATATATACATATATATATATATATATATATATATATATGTATATATATATGTGTGTGTGTGTGTGTTTAACAACATTGTTAATGCCACAAGGGGCAATTAGATTAGGGCAGACATTAGATATAATAATAGATTAGGGCAATTAGATTACACAGCAGACACATACAGAGACAAATCACTTACAATATTAAAAAAACAATACAGCATGCTTCATAAGTATAATAATACTACAAAAAACTACAGCAATAAGGAAAGCCCACATAATAAAAAAATTAAAAGTTGCTTATTTAAGGTTATAATCTCTATATATGAAGGCGATTCTTGTCTTTCTCGGAGTGAGGAGAACCAGCATAAAGGGAATTAGGCTTAATCTACTCTCAATATAGGTAGTATTAAAAGTTCTCTGTATATTTTCTTCTCCACAGGAACATACATTATCTGATTCACTTTAACAGCTTCTGAGTTCTGCTGGAACTTTAATGTGGTATCAAAGATTGTGCCATGAGACTTCTGTACCCTTTCTACATGTTTTCCATTAAAATACTACGCTTTTCAGTTACCATCTTATTTTTTCGTATACACACAGTAGTCAACACTAGATCAAATCCTTTCTTCAATTTTGTCAAATTGTGCGTGACTATTTTGAGGGATGTAAACAATATTGGTTCTAACGTATTTCCTCTTTTACATTTTTCATTTCTGTATCTTCAAAGAATCCAAAAAGGTACAAATATTGATAAATAATGTTATGTTATTATTGAATTGGCTCTTGTTGGTTATTAAATAGTTAGACAACAAGCTGGAAATATTCATGGGCTAATGGCATCACCACATTGAAATTGTCTATAGCAGTCTTGTATTCAAACATCAGCAGCTTACACGGTTTAAATCAATGAGCACATCCGAGCAAACATTATTAGTTCAAGTTAAAGTCTGCACTTGAGTTTGATGGTCACACTTTACAATAAGGTTTCATTTTTTAATGTATTCACTATATGATTATGGTCTCTTCGTGTAGTTTTCTACATTTGATTAAAGAAGGTTGAATCAAACGTTATTTTTATTATGTAAAACATAACTGTCAGACGAAATATTTCGAGAATTTGTTTGTCTCACGTTGGCTTATTTGAATTAAGTTTGGTAATTTGCATACGTGGTGACGAGCGGAAACTACCTGCCACCAATCACTACAAGCAGTCCATACGAAAACATCTCCGAGGCTGCGCGGTGCTAGTTAACAAAAATTGACCGCTTCCATGATTTATCCGTTTAAGTACATTTATATTATTTTAATCAATACACTTTGGATTTAAACAGTAAGGTTTGTAGCGGTACAGGACGTTAAATTATGGGTGGTTTAACGGAAGAGCGTGTGCGCGTGGTGGCGATCATTCAGGCGCTCAAAGCTGTCGGAATTCGCGTGAAAAACTGGAAAAATTTTCTAAATGGAAATTCAAACTGCGAACAAACCTTGTGTCAGGTATAAACCCCATTTGCAAGGATGGGCATTTATTCGATGTCTAATAAGTGTAGTGGAATTTACAGATGCTGAATTTGTCTCTCAGGAGAACGCGTCCCAACGCTTTGCTTTTGGACGTGACCTGCACTTGCTCCCTCAGCATGACCTGCCTGACAATGGCGGTACAGTACCTCGGTATGTTTAATAACATCACTTGTTTATTAGATAACGAAATCTGAAGCTGGCTTTTACATATGTGACAGTAGTTGACAGATTCTTGTGCTGGTTTTCAGGTTCTTGGTTGAGGCCTGTGTGTTTCTGTCACAGCATCTCAATACAGAGGGTCTTTTCAGGAAGACTGGATCTCTTACTCGGATCAGAGCTCTGAGGGTAAGTTAAAATCAGTCAAAATGTCACTGACAAGTGTTAAATTTATGCAGTAATTTATGTTACACCAGTTTTTCTGATAATGATTAACGTTAATTTATTTAAACAAAAAAACAACAGTATAATAAAAATATTAGTATCAGATAAAGTAAAGTTAACTGTTGTCTAATTTTATATATTTAACGTGTATGTTTTTCCTGTGATGATAAAGCTGATTATTTACCATCATTATACCAGTCTGTAGTGTCACACAACCCTTTAGAAACTGTCTAATGTTTTGCTTTCATCTTGAAGAAACTTCTTTTTATCAATGTTGAAAACTGTTGTGCTGCTTAAAGTTTTTGTTTAAACCACAATACTTATCACTGTAATGGAAAGATGCCAAATTTTATTCAGCAAGGATGTATTAAACTGGCTTTAATTTCAGTAAAGATTAATACCATAAGTTATTTTAAATAAAAGCAGATCTTTTGAACATTGCATTGATTAAAAAAGTGTTTTCTAAAAGAAAGATAAGCTGTAAAAACTAATTTCAATATTGGAAATACAAAGAACTATTATCATTAGGGGACCAGCAACAACTTGGCATCAAATCTGCATATTGAGATGTTTTTCGAAGGGTCTTATGACAAGATTTGGCATCACAAAGTAACCTTTAAAGGGTCACGAAACACCAAAACACATTTTTTGAGATGTTGACAGTCGTATTTGTGTCCCACACTGCTAAAAACACCATTAGGACACTTATTTCACTAAAAAGTGAAAATTGGTTGTTTTTGCGTTATTTCAAGTAAATTCGTACTCCTGGTTTAAAACAAATTTTTTAAGCTGCGTCACGGCCATGAGATCTTAGCGTGTATTCCAGCGTGTTGATTGGACGTCTGTACCTGGGAGTACCGTATTACGTCTCTGAGTGTGCTGCATAAATTCATGAGTCAGACTTGGTTCAAACCAATCAATGTGCGCTCTATTGTGTATGCGTGCAACTTCATTAATACACATGCTAGCTTCGAAGACATTTTGTATCTGAAATAGTGTTTAAACTGCAGAGAGACGACAAGTTGTGTTGCCAAAAGAAGTGGGGAAAGAATATGAATTATTTGGAGATACGGGTCGTCAGTGTTGCGTTTATAATTTGCTGCAACGAAGGTTTTGTTTTAATTTTCCAGCTATCAGTGCACACGACACGTGGCAGAAATGCGTTTGTACGGAACATTTTTTTACTCGAGAGCTTTTCGCATCTGGAAATTGTGAAATCTGAATTTGCTGCTCGTCTCCTTTAAAAAAAGACGCAGCTCCAGTATGTGTTAATAGTCCTGCCTCGACAGATTTGGTAAGTGTGTGCGATCAGTGCCCTCTCTTTGTTCAGTCAGATAGCAAAGTTATAGTTGGTATCGTCAGCAGTACTCTTTCAGTGTTTAAAGACAGACCATAGTCAAAATGATTTCTAAGTTACTTAAGTTTACATTAATATCGCTACAATATAATGGGCTGAAAGATCTGTAATGCTGCTTTCTGAGTGTAAACGTGAACACTGCAAGCAAGCTATTGCGACCGTCGTGTTTAATTTTCGCCGCATTTTGTGACAGGATAGTCTATACCAGTGTTTCTCAACTGGTGGGTCGCGGAGTGTGTGGTCAAAAAAAATAAGTTTAATTTTAAGCTTATTTTGACTTTTATTTTGAAATGCGTGCACAACAACAGTACTGTTTGACATGTGAAATTTCATTTAATTAAAGCTACAAATGCACATGTATGACCCTGAATATGTAAAGCATGGATTTAAATATTTGACAAGAAAAAAAAAAGACTTAAAGCCTCAGTGTGTCATAGGTAGTGAGGTGCTCTCACAAGTGAGCATGAAACCTTCTAAATTAAAACAACATGTTTTATTAACAGTTCAGTTTTAGTTAACGGTAACTGAACATTTCCTTGCCCTAACCACTGTTTGCAGTATTTTTTGTTTTTACTTTGTAATTTTTCTATAATTTGACACATTTTGTTAAACGACAGCAATAAAATATAGTTTATTTGTAATTGTTTTTTTCATGATTTATCAGTCAATACTTGTGTATGGTAACAAATAAATACAAATTAATTATAATTCCTAAAATTGTATTTTAGTTCCTGAAAATTTGGGTCGCGGCTTGATGACCATGTAAAAATGTGGGTCCCATGGCCAAACCAGTTGAGAACCCCTGGTCTATACAAACACGGCCTTCCGACCTGCCGAGTCCATCTGAGTTACAGAGAAATGCAGAGTTTTTTTTCTCTTTTAAAACGTGCGGTATCAAACATTCCACCATCATTAAACAGTCACTGTCTTTCTCCCCTGCGTGTGTGTTTGTTTTTCCTCTGTGAAATTCAGCGCATGCCCAAATGGAAACTCCCATTTTTATTCAAATCCCCTTTTCCCTTATCGACACTCCCACCCAAACAGAGCTAGACACACCCACTTTCCTGACCTTTTCCAAACTAGAGGTGTGAAAACACCCTGCTGAAACGAGTGGTTTCATGGCCCTTTAAATATATATTGAAATATATATATATTTTCATAATATTACAGTTTTGATGTATTTCTTAATAAATACACGTTTCCTGGAGGAAAATATGAAACTTTAAAA